TATAACCATGCAACTATGCAAGTATTAATGCAATACTCACTCCGGCACATGCTAAAGTCGGTGACTTCTTCAGCGTTCACTACACTTGCAGCAAACATTAATCCTACTACAGTTAATATGAAAATCATTATTGTTGTTTCGTTATTAGTGACGGAACAATAATGTCTAGCACAAGAAAACTTTGATTTCAGTGCAAGTGGTTTGGTACAATTTATCATACTGCGATAACCTACGGTGAAATTGTCGTTTATAAATATTGTGGAGCACTTAATTTTTTATGTTAAGAAAATATTCAAGGTGGGGGTTTATTCGATGCATTTTAATTCGTATATTATATACCGATATGGTTATAGTGTATAGTTAGATTGCATACATTTTATTGGTAAGACAAAGCAAATAATACGATGATTAAACATTTTTACTGTTCACCCCATTATTATGTTTAAATTATGCATATCATAATAATTATGATATATTCAATTTCTAATTTTTGGAATTTTTAAGTGTAGTGAGCCACATGTTTAATTATAAACTGTGAATCAAATGATTTTTCTAAAAATTTTGACGTAGGTATTGTAATCGAAATTTGAACGAACATTTCCTTGAGTTGGCTGAGTTATTCTACTTCTATTTTTACTTCTAACTTTAAATACTAATAGTCTATTTTAAATTACATCCAGCATTTATTATAAATTATGATAGTACCTATAGCTATAGGTATTTTATCATGCAAAAAACGGATTTGTCATTTTAATCTAAATATCAAAACACAAATGTATAGACAATTCTCAATAGCTATTTAATAGCTGCAGATAACAGAATAATTTATTATTGAAATTGAAAAATATACCTAATATTTAATTAAAAKTAAAAACTTGAGCGATCGTGTAATGCATTATATAATAAAATCAAGCTTATTCGTGTTCACCTAATAGAGGTAGGTAGTGTAATTCTATTGAATAAACTTAAAAATTCGTTCTCTAATTAGCTGCTGNCCTATCATTGCATTCAAATTTAATCCCATCCATTACAGTAACCTACTGTACAGCAGAGCGACATCCACGACTTACCCGCTTATTTAATTTCACTATTATTATGTACCCACATAGGTACATRTATTAGTCTTTACTAGGAACAGTAGGTAATAAAAATGACGAAATTGTATTTGTCGATAACAATATTTTATAGATTAATTGCGTTGCGGGAATTCTCGTAAAATTAATTTAAGAACAAAATRGAATTTAGCCGTCCTAACCGCGTTCACCGGATTATCGGGGGTCCGGACTATCGAGGCTCTACTGTACATATATATTATTAAAATAAAAGCAGTACCCACCTTAATAAGTATTAAGTAAGGAATAAAAACAATGCAAATTATTAACTAATAATAACTCTGTCACTTTAATCTATCAAGAGAGTTTCAATAAGTGTGCATGTGTAATTTTTATAAATCTATAATAAACTACAAATTCCGCACAAAATCATTTTATGTATGTAATGATTTATCGATGAATTCCATTTTACGTATTAAATGATCGAAACCTATCATACATTAAACTGACTTTATTAACGCTAAATATTATTTTATAAGTCCCTAGTAACAGTAGTACCTTAGTCAAAAGACTCAAGAATAAACTTAAAAAACAATAAGTACTTTGATTTTTTTAATGTTCAAGATGTTACTTATTAAGTTATATTTGTTTAAGTATGAATTAAAAGCCATTTAGAATTAATTAAAATGGTAATAATACTGCCTCTATCAGCTCTATCATCTAATCTATGAGTACATAATATTATATATTTAATAACAATAATAACTAATTAATTCATGATTTAAGCATCGATTTAGACATAACCATTATTCGAGATGATCCACTCTTTAACGGAAGTTGAAATTAATKAATATTAAATTAAATTATATTAAGTACTTATATACCTACCTATTTATTGTAAGTTATTATAAATAAGGTAAACAACATTTGATAAGAATCTAAAAACTAATCTGGACGAACAAATAAATACTTTGCGTTAATTTTTAGATATTTATAATTACATCAAAAAAATACTGCACTTTTGATAATAACTACCTAATAAGTAATAAGTATAATTGCAAGTTTGCAACACAATAAATTAATATTCCTTATCAATTATTTTATTATATTATTTTCAATATGCACCAATATTAATATTTATTTTTGTAAAATTACTGTCAGGCTTAGAAACAAATAAATATTTAATGCAATGCAAAAGATTTGATTTATTTGGCCTAAATCGTTATTTATAATGACTAATTAGTAATAACAGAGTAGCTGAAATACACTTATGATTTAAAAGAGCAATTTTTAATGTTTAAACATTACAGTTCAACAATGTAACTTTAGACTGAACTCCTTGTTTGTTCAATTAAATATTACATTAAGGTATTAAAAGTTAAAACATGAGATAACTAAAGCCCTAGTATAGTTAAGAGTGAAAGCTTTTAGCTTTAACGCAACCAAATTATAGCCTACTTAGTGAATATATTAATTGTATTTTGTAAATAATAATAGTACTATTTAATTTTTGCAATACCTATTAAGTATAAATTTAACTCAATGAGTATGATAGGTAGTTAAGCACCTACTTTAGGAATATAATATTAATTAAATAACTAATTTATTATTATAATTTTTACTATCTTTCTTATTTTTATTTTATAGATTCTGGATGCTCCATTTCAATCAATCCGACCATCGAAGAATGCATTTACTTTATAATGTGTGATCATTGTATTATTTCATATTGTATTCTTTTGAGCAGTAAAAATGCTTCAATTTTCAAATTCGAAGTTGGTTTCAGTAGAAAATCAGATCTAGTAAGTCAGTTCCTACTTTAGAGTGTCAAAAGTAAAACATTTCAAGTACTATTAAAAATAGAAGTGAAAATGGGAATATGGGAAATATGGGATATCAGAATTTTTACGCCAAAATGGATTTTGAAAATCAATTTCGTTTTTTTTTTGTTTTAACTCAAAATTAAATAGTTATAAGAAATTGATATTTTCCAGAATATTTGAATCTCTTTGTTCTATTTTTAAGTATTTTAAATTTTAAACATTATTTTTTTTTGAAAATAGGTACATGAACACTATATTTTTATAAAAGTTTTTGAATTAAAAATGTTACGGAACTTATAAAATCGAAAAAATAAATAATTATTTTCTAGCTAAAAACACATACATTTTTTTATAMGATATTAAGATACAAGATTTCAAAATTTAATATAATTTTACCTATMTACATTTTTCTCACAAAAAAGTTGAAAAGAGTTCAGTGTTATTTCAAAACTATATTTTTTACCTATTGATTGTTGCATACACTAAAACTTTAATTCGTTGTGTATATCATTATTTTCTAAACACAGAGAAATTAACTCTCATTTAGAATGTTACTACTCATTTCAAGCTAATTATACATAACATTAATAATAATAATAATAATAATAATAATAATAAGTATATGATGATATATAAGTACAATACTCATTAACAATTAATTTTTAAGTAGTCTTGAGCATTGTGTGATTAATAAAATAAATACATAATATAAAATTATCCGGTGATTTGATCTGAATCCGCAATAAAATAAGCAATGGAACGGGTGAGGGTGGAATGATAATCATCAATATTTAAAAAGACTAAGTGATAAACGAAAAATAATGCCAAGTATATTCAGACCGTTGTTAAATAATAAAAAATTTTGATTTTGATTTTTTTTATTGTAATTATTATAACTTTTAGATATTACTTAAATTGTTTCTGATCATATTTATATAGTTAGGGATTAAGATTGTTTTATTATAATATGACATGATTACGTCTTCTACCTATGTCATGATAGATTAATTGTGTTAAATTATGAATATTGTGGTAGTTCGTATGTACCACCAAATGTGTATGATGAATGCTAACATAGATATATAGTGTCACTGTATGTACTATTGTAGGTATGAATAAAAGAATTAGGTACCTATATTATAAATTTGAATACATTTTCGTAAATAAAGATTATTATTAATTTTCTTATGGTGGGATACTAAAAGTTGAAACATGTAAAGTGATTACCATATATTTATGTAGATAATAATTAATTAACTATATATATGTGTGTGTGTCTGGATATATATATATGCTATATTACTCCAACCTGAAAAGGCTCTTTAGGTATTTACGAYGAAAAGCAAATACTAAAAATTCGTATATAATATTTCTTAACTTACAATTTGCCCAACTAAAGATTGATTTTTCTTTATGAATACTTCTGTAATTTTTAATTTTTGCTTTATATATTTTAATTTTTAATTTGATTTCGGGCTTCAAATTAATTTTATTGAAAAAATAAAATAATGTATAATTTATTATTGTATTTACTATTCCAATACATAATTATATTATGCGTTATTCTCTTATATTTGTAAGAGAATTTACTTAATATGTGTCCAATATTTTATGTGAATTGTGTGTAGGATGCACCTGCAGTGAATTTACTGTTAATTTTGGTAATCTAAATTAGGTATACGAGTATGGTCATTACTCATTACAATATAACATGCRTTTCCTGGTATCTTATACCTATAACTATATAAGGTGTAACAGGACTATTTAACCAATTTCCATTACAAATATTACKATATTTGTCAAATAGTACTGTTACACTCTGTATTATACCAATTTTTTTGATTTATTATCATATGCTATACTGTTCTTTTAACTGTTACTAGACTGTTTGAAGAATATTTRTATACATACCAGCTACATATTTAAATTTAATAGACGCAGTAATGTTTTGTGGTATTTCACATGGTTGGTGGTTCAAAGCTTCGGGGCATGGTTCAATAAACAGATCATATACTTCACATCTAGCATCTGAAAAAAGAAAATATAAACARTGAAACAGTAAGTAGAATAAAAAAAGATGAGCAAATGGGCACCGCTCTGAAACTTTGATGTATAGTAGGTATCATTGAGTCACTGTAATGGATATGTTATAAATATGAATTTAATGATATAAAATCATTGTAAATATAAAAAACGATTCTGAGTGATAAGCGAGACAAGTATATAATTGTATGATATTATTGCTATTAAAGTTATTTATTATATTTTAGTAATTGGTAGAGTAAATTTAAAAAAATATTCTCCATTAGCACATTGCATTTGAAAATTTCACTATGTGTTAAATATAGTAATATATAAAATTGAAGTATTTTTGCTATTACTTTTTGTGTACTCTGATACAAATAACAATTTAAAAAAATATACAAGATTGAATAATCATTACATTTATTGTTACGCGCAGAATCTAAAAACAAAGTAAAATTTGATCGATATAATATAATGTATAACTTTATAAGATATAAGCTTATAACCATGCAACTATGCAAGTATTAATGCAATACTCACTCCGGCACATGCTAAAGTCGGTGACTTCTTCAGCGTTCACTACACTTGCAGCAAA